CTTGACCCTCTTGGCTGATAGGCGGTGTCACGCTCATCAACACCACCTCAACCAACAATTAGGACAGTTAAGGAAATCAGATCCGTGACTGATATGGACGATAATCTCCCCCCAGTATCACGCCAAGCCGCGAAACAGCACACAACACAGACAATGCTGATCATGAGGCAACTTGGTATGTCGGATAGAAGCCGGAGAGTATTCAACTGCCATCCGACCACGGCCTAACTCAGATGTCTACCTAGATTGTCACGGTTAGGCCAGGTACCTAGGTAAGCTAGTAACATGCCAACACATGCACACACGCAAACACCATGCATGTATCGTTACCTCGCTACCTATTTTGACTACAGACCCCAGCGCCACCCTGGCACTTACACGTCTGAATGTCTACGATGTGCAGGGAGTGTGCCGTATTCAAGGTATGCAGACGGGACCCGTTGTGTGAGTGGGCCAACCAGCCCAGGCGAGGAGATAACTGAAAAGGGACATGCGCCTCACTCTCGCTGAGCCTCCTTGAATCTTCTCACACCAACGTCCAGATATTGTAAAAGAGAGAGAGAGAAGAGAAGATAATCGGAAGCAATCGGATAACAACATCCAGCCTGAGGACTATTATTGGTCGCGTGTAAGTTGGTTTGCCAGATCGGCGGTGAAAAGGAGGTAGGCCACTTGACTGTGCCTTCGGTGCTACTTACTAAGGTACCTGGGTATGGTAGTAGGTATCTTTGATAACAAGAAAATCAAACACGAGTGGACTTAATCACTGACTATCAACTCACCATTATGCTATCATAATGATACAACTGTCTACAGACAATGCCATACTCTACATATCATCCACATAGCTAAATAGTATGTTCTCACACTATAAGACAATAATAAAACATTCTCATACAGGTACCCGTCCAGGCTGCCAGGGCGATCGGCCCTTCCACTTGCCGCCCCCAATCACCTTACCACCCCTGTCTCATTCTGCAATATGAAGCGGAAATGGCCAAGACGCCTCACGTATGGCGCCGGCCACATCAATGAGCCCTGCTTGTCAGTGAAGAATACAACTAAGGTCGGTGGTGTGTGGCATGTTAACCTGCCAGCCCAGCCCATCAGCCGGCCGGCCGTCAGCCACCTACGTATCTGAGACATTTAACTGACCTGACAGACTGTTAGCTATCAAACTTTCCCTGCTTTCTTTTGTTGATGATAGAGGTTAGGTTAGGCATCGCCACACGCTGTAATCAGATCCTCATATGCACGACATGCAAGCTAAGACAGGGTCTTGGACAGCCATGGCTGCTATGCTAGCTAGTCGGCTGGCTATCCGGATAACTACACAACGGTGTCGATTATATGACTTACACTTTACCGAAATAACCAAGGTTAAAGACTGCACGCAAAGTCACCTTTCCGTAAATACACTGTCACCCCCACAAGCTACACACAAACCAAACTTCTTTTCATAAAGTCCATCGCTGGCGCAAAGATTTTATAAAATATATACTTACTAGTACTATTTGACGGCGATTTTGATAGCTATCGAGTACATTTGCGCTGCAAGCTTTTTTAAAAGCTATAGAATCGAAAAGTCTGCAATTGCAAATAGTTTGAGGGAGGTTATAGACTTCGGTAGGGGTGTGGGGCTTGTGCTGAGCGAGCTTAGTTTGCTGTAAAGGCTGTAATACGTTTTCGTGGGTGGGGTGAAGTGCATGGAAGTCATATAATCGACACCCCACACAACCACCTTCAGCGTGACAACAAACCGTCATTAAGTCATCATACCTAGACCGGTGTAAATCGATGCCACGATGGCTGTTGAGGCTGCACAGGGCTGTCAAATGAAATCAAGAGAGGAGCTTCTTCTCCGTTTTTGAGGGTGTCGTGAATGTCCAATATATACCTCGGCACGTTTCTTCATGGCAACTGTAAAAAGAAAAAAAAGGAAAGAGTTTAAACGAATGGAAAGTAAATGTCTCTTCACTCCACAAGGTCGCCAGAATGGGCTGGCTGTTTTCAATAGAAACTATTATTCAGCAGGACGGGGTCAACGGGTTTGCCGAATGTAACCGGGGCGGTCCGATGATCTGTGTAACGCGATTGCTTGCCCCGGCTTCCTACCTTAGTACCTACCTTAGTAAGTCGAAGTAGACAAAAGGGGGCGGAATAAGGCGGGACGGAACGGAACGAAACAAGCTGATTGGCGGACCTGCTTCCTAGCCTTTGACCCGATATTGGACACAGCCTACTGGAACATTTACTGCAGGCGCTATTGACATTGCTTCCTTGGTTTTTTGTTGTGGCGGTTGGCTTACTTGCAATTGTGGTCACAGGACAAGACAACCAACCTTTTCGTCGGAAGTCATCTCTCTGCTGCTGTTGGTGGCTGACCGATAGACACAGGAGATAACGAATGGAAAAATGGCCGGTGAAGGAAGCGCAGTGCAGCGCGCCGCATGGATGGATGTACGGGGTATTTTCCTTTCTTTTTCGGACAAGAAGTGATGGGTGCCACATGGTTGTCATAAAGTACATTGACACCAGTAGAGCTCGGGATGCCTCATTCTTGTCACGACATACAGAGTGGCCAAGCCAGTACCAGTACCTGGAAAATGCGTCACGGCAGTTTTTTTTGTCTCAATCGAGAATGTCGATCACTCAGCCTAACCCGGGACCACATTTTTGCGTGCTCGTGGCTGCATTTGCTGTACTTGTTGTCCCTCAAGGTTCCTATGTATCTAGTACGTATCCATGTATTTCGTTTTGTTACATATCGGGGCGAGCCGGTTATCCACAGGAGACGAGATACTTTGGGCCCAAGTACCGCCCATGCCAATCAGATAAACCCTTTCAAGGTTCACACCACAACAACGACAACCACTACACTGATGCGCCACTTCGGACTTTCTGGCCGAAACCTATCCAAACTCGGCCGTGTGCATCCTCGTTAGTCGAGTCGCAGTACTAAATCCAGCACAAACAACTGCTTTCTATTCATGGCTGCCCGATTGCCTGCTTCACTTACCTAACTCAGATCGGATGAGCGTCTAACCGGTTAACGAGCGAGTCGGACTGAGAGAGACTGCGCGCGCGTGTGTGTGTGTGTGTGTGTGTGTGTGTGTGTGTGTGACTATCAGCCGAAAGCCGAGGAGGAAAAGGGGTGGCGGTGGTGATAGAATTTCGCCTCAACAAACATCACGCCGACAGTAACAACTACGCCATATTCCAGCTTGGCAGGAGGCGTGAGCACGTTTCTGACCACAGTTCTCAGAGAGATGGTCGGCGATATGATACAGAATAGCAAGTTGGACTTGGCCAAGATGGCGAGGTGCGGCCGGTGGGGGTCACATTTGGCCGACGACGACCCGACGACGACGGCAGGAACGGCTCCGGTTTGGCCCTGTGTGAGTTCCAAGGCCATCTCACCTTGTCTCAAGGGATCTAGGTCTCGGGGGCACTCTGGAGCGTCTGAGAGTCTCTCCCTCTCCCATATGAGTTTCTTGCTGAAAGAATTCCATCCCTCAAAATTGTGTAAGCAGTAAGTCACTCAGTCACTCAGTCAGCCAGCCTCGAGCCACCCAGCCAACCCCTTTCCCTCCCCTCAACACTATCGCCAAGCACGGTATACTCCCTGAACACTATCACCACAACAACCATCACCATCATCACCCAAACTCTGTAACAACCAGTCACCAAGATGGCCGCCATCACCCCCATCCCCACCGACGCCACAACCACAATCAAATTCGACCTCGCCATCGTCGCCCTCATCGCCCTCCTCACCGCCTCCACCCGCTCCTCCGCCCGCACCTACTTCGCCCGCACCATGCCCGAGTGGTCCAAACTCAAGCCCGAGATCCAATCCCGCCTCGCCGTCGAGTGCGGCGTCATCCCCTCCCGCCTCCTCCTCTTCTACCTCACCCTGCCCCTCATGCTGCACGGCTTCGACCCCATCGCCGCCTGGACCCCCGACGACACGGCCCGTTCCTTGCTCTCATGCGCCATCCTGACGGGCTCCTACATCGTCGACCTGACCGTCACGCGCAGCGACAAGGGCTCGACGCTGCACCACTGCATGGGCCCGGCCCTGCTGGTCTGGATCCGCGCGAGCTTCAGCAGCTTCACGCCGCACGACGCGCTGCTGTGCCGGCTGCTGATGCAGTTTGTGTTTTTCGGGGCTACCATCTCGGGTGCGACGACGACGACGCTGGTGTTTTTGTATCAGTTCCGCAAGACGTGGTTCGCGGATAGTAAGACGTCGTCCAAGGGGTATTTGTCTTTTATTTTGCTGCTGCCGGTGTTGGGGATGTCGACGGTTGTCAGCACTTTCTACTGCACGGGGTATATCCACTTCTGGTTTCCCGAGCTGACTGCCCACTTTTCCGGGTGCATGTACCTGCTGCCGCTGACGTGGGTGCTGGTGGAATGTGGCATGCAGTGGCGGTGGCTGTTATGGTTTTATACGTTTGAGGAGTGGTATCGGGGGAACACGACTGTCGAGGAGGGCAAGGAGAGGATTGATGCTGTCGCGGCGGGTGCGTGGTGGTTGCCTAGGTGGCGATTTGTGGCTATCAAGGTGCTGGCGGCGGTGTGGCTGGGCACTGTTGCGGCTGTGGTTTGGCGGACGGGGGATTTGCATCGTTTGGCGAGGGGGGCGGTGGAGATGTGGACGGGGAAGGATGGTGGGCGGGATAAGTTTGAGATTGTGAATGGGTCGAGTGTGTCGCATGTTGAGCTGTGAGGGGCATACAATGAAGACAGGTTTAATCTAGGGATATATCACTTAGCTGGCTGGCATTTTTGAGGAGGTTGAGTTTCTTGAACATTTCACCCCTTTATTATACATATCCTTGAATTTAGTTCATTCTTAAGTTAACTAATATTATCACCATCAAAAACGGCTCAGAGTCTGTGATACTTTGGTAATGAAGGCAACTTCATTCAAGCCGACACTAAAAGGAAAAAGATATAAAACATATTTCATGTAAAGAAATAACCAAAAGAGCCGATCGAGCTGGGACTCGAACCCAGAGCCTTTACCAACTGAGAGATTATCAAATCTGATTTAACCGGAAAGTAACGCGCTACCATTGCGCCACCCGACCAATTGTTACCTGGGTTGCTGCCAAGCCGTCTACAAGATCCCGTTTGCTATGCCCTCTCCCATCAATCCAACCCTTGTCCAAAACCAACGACATCGACAAATCCAATCATTCATCATCAATATATATTAAAAAGATCAAGCCTTAACACTCCAAACAACATCCTCCCACCCCTCTCTCCTCCGAATCCTCACCATCCTCTCCGCCGCCTTGGGCTTCTTCGCCCCACTCTTACTCTCCTTCGCCCTCACCTCCGCCGCGCTGGCCCCCGCCATCTCACCCCCGACCACAAAATCCAGCGCCATCACCATCAGCGCGCCGCTCGCCAATATCTCCGCCTTGGCCAGATGCCGTCCGGGGCAGAGGTGCACGCCGCCGCCATAGGGCACAAACCCTTGCTCGCGCGCGCGGCCCTTGGCGTCGGCGGCGGACCCGCCGGGCATGAAGCGCCAGGGGTCGAATTTCTGCGCGTCGCCGCCCCAGATCTGGTCGCGGCCGTGCAGCATGAATGTGGGGATGGAGACGCGGTGGCCCTTTTGCATGGCGACGGCAACGCCCGTGTCGGGGTCAACGAGCGTCGTGTCCTCGAGCACGGCGCGGTTGCAGGTTGGCAGGCTGCCGATGCGGAGGGCCTCTTGGTAGCAGGCGATGAGGAGGGGGCAGGCGGTTTGGGCGGCGGCCATGTCTAGCTGGGCGTGCTTTTTGGTTGGAGGGGTGGTGGTGGCGGCCTTTTTGCTCTTTTTGTTGCTGCTGGTCTCGTCTGAGGGGATGAAGCTGACGATGGCCTGGACCTCGTCGCGCAGGGCAAAGAGCAGCTTGGGGTCGGCCAGGATGGCGGAGATCATGGACACGGCCGTGGGGACTGTGTTGACGGTGGCGACGGAGATGTTGAACACCTCGAGGCGCGAGTAGTCGTTGTCGCTGAGGCCGAGCCGCTTCAGGGCGGCGATGGTGGTCTGCACGGCGGCGCTGCCGAGCTTGTCGTTGCCGGAGTGGATGTAGTTCTCAAAGGCGGCCGAGATGCGATTCACGGCGCGTACGCCGGCGGGTGCGACGAGCTTGGGGAAGATGCCCCAGCTGAGGCGGAGCTGGTTCTCGTCAAATGTCCTGAGAGGAGCAAGCGTCAGCCATGTGAGTAACTCTCTCTATCTAACGAGATACGTACCAGATATCCTCAATAAGGGTCGGATCAAGCGCAACGGGATTCTTGGGGCCATAAAGACCTGCGACTGTTCCGACGGTGATGACGTCGCGAAGCCACATGAACAAGTCGTGCGACTCCCAGTTGGAGTCAAACTTGTTGACAGCATCAGCGACGGCGTTGGAGGCAACCTGGCTGGGCTCGGACAGGGTCGATCCAGAGCCAAGGAGTTTGCTGAACTCGACGCGTCTCTCACCCAAGGTGGGCGAGCCAACGAACTCGCCACGCTCGTCGATGCCAAAGTGGCGGTCGGCCGCCTTGCTCAAACCCAGCATTCTAGTGGCAACGGTGGCGCTCAGAGGCTCGAGAGAGAGCGATTTGCTCCGCAGCGCTACGTGCGAGAGGGCAGGTGTTGTGACGACGTACGTTTTGATCGAGAAGAGCTTGATGGTGAAGGCTGGCCATGGTGTCTTGCGGCTGAAATACTGTCAGTGTGACCATCCTACGACCTGGCTGGCTGTTAATGGTGCAATACTCACCGAAGAGTCTCCAGGTACTGAATCCCCTGCTGGTAAAAGCCCAGAAAGTGCCCAATTAAGGGGATCGAAGGCGACACCGCAGGCGGTTCCTTGACCTGGCCATGCTGACTTGGCGTAAGATAGTGCCAGATGGCAAGCAATCCACAGAAGCCAAGGCCAAAGAGCAGGTAAGTGCGCTTCGAGGAAACGGCGGCGTCAAGAGAGGCTTCCGGGCCCCAAGCCTCGGAGGACGAGTTGATGATGGTGTCCATTATGGCAACAGTACTCAACCAACTCTGGGTATGGTAATCTTGAGTTGATCCAGAATGAGCTTGGGTGTGAAGAAAAGTTCGCTTGTCAAGACAAAAAATGGGCAGACTTGAAGACATGCGTAACGCAGGGTCTGAGCAATGGAGAATGCCATTGACGAAAAAGTCGAGCATGTTGGGAATTTCAACCAAGGGGGGCACCAAAATCAAGCCGAAGTGACGCGCGTTCCAGCCAGGCCACCTCGGAATCCATTCAGTCGGTCAATCAGTCGATCACTCAATCATGACTCTCTTGTCCCTCCTGCCCTCCTCACCTTGCCATCCATCGCGACTTCCTCTTACACGCTGCTGTAACGCGACGTGGAGCCAATGATAGGTCGGGTGAGCCTGTGAGGTGTGGTGACCCCCACTCAGAGCTAGTCCAAGTGGAAACCGGCAAGAGGAAGGAAAGCTCCTGCAGCCACTTCCATCTTCCCATCTTCGTTCCTTCTCATCGTCTACTTCGATCATCCGGCCTCTTTTGATCTGCCAAGAGCATTATTCCCGACTCCCAGGTGCCCGAGCGAATCGACACCAAGTGCCGATCAGGCCAACCTCGCACTCCCAAGGCAGTCATGCATCCAAGACGTCTGGACGTCCAAACTTGGACTCCCGAGACTTCCAGCCACCGAAATCGGCATCCAGGCGTCCAGGTGCGTTTTGTTTCTCGACAGCATCCCTGGGCCGAATCCAGTGTCATCTTTAGCAAGCGCCATGTCTCAGGTCGCAAGCCTCACCACAACTCGTGGAAGCCCCATCCTGAGTTGGCAGCTGCAGCCCGTGGGTGCCGTGCCGCAGACTAATGCCGAACCAAAGTCATGTTTCACTTGGTGTGCATGCCGGAAAGCACGCGATTCGAGACATGGGGCCTTGAAGGATGGTGGTTACATGCAGCTAACGAGCACCACAGGTACATATCGGGGCGAATGCTGTTATTCCTGATTGATAACGATGATATGGTGTCGTAATTCAGCGGGATGGTTGATCGGGTCAACAAACTTCATGCCCGATGCTCAACAGGAAATCGCCGCGGCCCGAATTGGGAAGCTGCAGTGTCTTTTTGTTCTCTGCTTTGGATTCTACTGGTCTACCATTCCGAGATACGGCCTTCGAGAACTAGGATGTCGCGACTTCTCGAGTTCTTGTCATACCTGGGTTGGGAATTTGAAAATCGCATGCTAACCTTTCTAGTAAAACGCGTCTGTAAATCACCTCGTAATAGTTCCAGGTATCTGCGTGGTCCCATGTCCTGTCCCCAAGGGGCTATTCAGTATCTTGTCCTGATCTTGTCCTCTCTCCGAGCTTGCTGCTGCTGCCCATCCTCTTGGTCTCATCCAACATCTCTTGTCAGACTGCAACACTTGTCCAGCCTGAAACTGCACGGCATTCCACAGCAACATCAGCACCATCAACTGGTACTAACCGCTGACCGCCAACAACCATGGATCTTGGAGCAATCTCCGGCTTCGGTTTTGCTGCGGCATTTGCCGCATACACCAAGCATCTAGGAGCATCGAATCCTACCTCTGTCGCTGCCTTCTTTGTCTTCTTGACGGCCCAGGCCATCTTTTACGTGGTCTTCACCAGCCTGGTATATCGCTGGTTTATCTCGGCCACCAAACACCTTCCTCATCCCAAGGCAAGTAAAATCTAAGCCCCTGAGGCACACATGTACTGACAAATTTTCGGAAAACTCGCAGAATACTCCGTTTGTGCTGGGTAATCTGGTTCCCTTCCTCGCGGAGCCATGGGGTTTCCCACTGGTTCGTTGGCAACCGACAATTCCCACTACGGCAAGCGGATTCTACCGCATCTTCCTGGGCCCGTTTGATTTCGTGATCCCCAGGACCTCGCAGGCTGTGACTACCATCATGAGCCAGCCGTACACCTTCGTTAAGCCCAAGGCGGTACGCGACGGTCTGGTTGAGAGCCTGGGAGTTGGTCTTGTTTCTGCTGAGGGAGACGATCATCGCGTATGTAGACCGACACCCACATACGATTCTCCAAAAAGAATATCAGACAAGAGAAACTAACAAAAACTTATCACAGCGCCAGAAAAAGCTTCTTACCCCCATCTTTGGGCTCAGCCGTAACCGTCGTCTGCTCCCACAGATGTGGGCCAAGGCGGGCGTGCTGACCGAAAAGATGTGCGAGCTTGTGCTCGAATCCGGGTCAAAGTCCACCATCCTCCTCATGCACCCGCTCACCATGGCGGCGACACTTGACGTGATTGGCGTCACGACACTGGGAGTCGACTTTGACTCGATCCGGCGGCCAGACCAGCCCATCCTCAAGGCCTTCCAGCGCGTCTTCCCAAGCAACGAGAACCAAAACGCCTGGGCTCGCTTCTTCGGTGCCACTCTCCCCGCGCTTGTCTCCCCCCATCTGTTGTTCAAGCTGCCACTCAAGCCCATCCGCGAGTTCCACTCGGGCGTGCGTGTGATCCGCGAGATGTGCTTGGAGCAAATCACGCTTAAGCGGCGTGAGATCGAGGAGGCGGAGGCGGCTGGGCGCGGCGAAGAAAATTCCAGCGTCGAGGCCAAGGAGAAGGATATTCTCTCAGCCATCGTGGCGTCGGGCTTGCAGGACGAAGACGAGATGATGAGCCATATGCTGACCATCCTTGCTGCTGGGTGAGTTGAAGAGACACAAAGTAGCGGCAATCCAAACACACACTTACTGACCATCAATCCACACAGACACGAGTCAACAGCAATCACCCTCGCCTGGGCCCTGTTCAAGCTCGCCCAGCTTCCCGACGTGCAAGACAAGCTCCGCGCCGAGATCAGCGACACGCTGGACCGTCTACACATCGCAGACCCTTCTTCCCCATCCAGCCCCATCCCCACACTGGAAGAAATCAACTCCATGCCCTATCTGCGCGCCTTCCTGATGGAGGTGCTGCGCATGTACCCCGCCTTTCCCTCCATGATGCGCGAACCTACGCACGACGTCAAGATCTCAGACGACCTGACGCTGCCTCGCGGCAAGCCGCTCATGGTCAGCCCGTATGCGGTCAACCGGTCGCGCGAGCTG